AATCTTCCCAAGTCGACAATTCAGTTTCAAGGAAACACTTTTAAGCTCAGAGCCTCCATCTGTTTTCAACTGATTCGGAAGAAACCAGCAATCCTACCTCAATACTAAATATCACAAATGGCAAGCCTTAGCTGAGAAAGTATCTTATTTTGGTTAAGTTTCAACAAAGTTCAGGTTACTCTCAGAGTGATTAACTAGTAAAATTACTTTTACAAATGTGAAACCAGTTTTCCCCGAGGGAAGGGAAGTAGGAAGGAGAGGCCAATGGAGAAGAGGCACAAGATGGCGGACGGGGACATAAAGCTGTGCATTCAGGACATGATTTTGGTCACTTTCTCACAACATGGTGGTTATTGTCTTGTACTAAGCCTATAAGAAACGACAGTGCTAAGCCTACAAACCAAAGCAAATTTGATAAAACACTCATCGTTAAGTTTCATAAATATATGCAATTATAAAGTATCTACAATACATTTGCACGTTTTCATAGACTAACATAATACACAGACTCATAGGAAGTCTCCTGTTATACTGTTAATTTTGCCTACCTCTGACATTATTTTCATAAATATTCAGTGAAGCCACAAACAAAGGTACTGTAACCTGTGGAATCTACCCAAGTTTTAAAGAAAAAAGATCAGCAGCAATTCCATAAAACGAAGGGTATCAATCCCTTACTTTCTTTTGCTCTTTGTGTCAGTTGTTTGAAAAACACTAGAAGCTGACATGAGGTTTTCTATATATTGTCCAAGAACTTGGTTTTCTGATTTTAGCTTCAGGTTTTCTTCCTTAACTGCATCTACTCTTGCTGAGAGATCTTCAAGTGTGTGTTGGAGTTCCAACACTTGATTAATAAGTCGTGTTTTTTCCTCCAGTTCCACCTGATTTTCAGCATCAACTGCATCCATGTCAGCATTCATCATCTTGGGGAGTAAACTTTTGAGCCTTGGATACACAATCCTTGATGAATGGTCTGCGGTTGGAGGCGCCGGCAGGGGGAGACTTTTCCCTTGTTTAAGCCACTGTGTCATCAGCTTAATCTGTAAACTACCCTGTACAGGTTCTTAGCAGTAGCCATCATGGAATCAGCTTTGATAAGGGGAAGTCCATTTTGATGAACTCACAATAATCTCCACGATTACCATCATAGCTAATTTGTACGCAAACCCATTAAACAGTCATTAGAGGACTGGAGAAAAAGACTGACTGGCATCCATTGGGCAGGTCCACTTGTCATTTAATTATTTAGAGTTTTCTCTATGCGATGGGGTAGAGGCTTGGGTGATAATTCTCAAGGGACATAAATAGATTCACATTCTGAATCTGGTCTGAGAAGTTTGTGCAAATCTCCTTGTTACTCATTTCTTGTTACTAATATATTATTCCCAAATCCTTGACCATTGGAGAGTGCCCATACACCATTCTTGATTTTAATCTTTGGCCATCCATCATTCCAGGAAGAGAAGGTAACCATATTGCTGCTTCAAGTTCTTCCCACCAGGAAGGGAACTGTTTTCCAGGGCCATCTCTGTGTGGAGGTCTAATTCTATAACAGGCTATTTCTTGTCAGTACCAGCATATATTGCAAAATCATCAGTTAATTAGGCTTGATTATTTTCTCCTTAGTTAACTGGCAATATGGGATCTTCATGAAGTCCTGTAAGTCGATTAAGGGAGAGGAGCCAGTACACAGTGTGAGTAGGTGCACTGGTAGAATGAGCCACTTACCTGTGCTCTAGGGTCTGCCTCTGACAAAACGCTCAACTGTTGCTTCTACTAGATGATAAAGCACAGGCCATGCCCAACTTTACACAATGATAAAAGACACCCAATTTGTGATGAGTAATTAACCAGGTCGGTTCATCATTTAGTGTCCTATGGTCATGTGAATAGTCTTTATCAGTATCAAATAATAAATCAAGAGATATTTATCAAAAGGAGAGTAATTATTTGCTCAAGTGGGAACGTCTTGGTGATAAAATCCAAAGGCATTTTGAAGATAAGAGTTGCTTGTTCAGGCCTGCCACAGGTTTCTTTCTACACAGCATTCCAAGTTAGCCAGAAATACATCCGTCACCATTGTATTCTCTGGGTCTCAAGACCTAGATACTTTCACTGCAGCCTGGACCAGTTGACCCCTTGCCCTAGCCCTTATTCAACATCAGTGGCTTTATAGGTTACTCAGTAAAAGGTCAGAGCAGTATAACATACTAACTCCAAATGCAAACAATCCCACCAAGTATTGTGCCTTTTTCTCAAAGCTGAGTTGCAAGGTGCCTCAAGATGTCTTTCTTTTTGCAGAGAGTATCCTGATGTGACTCAAATAATTGGCACTCCCAAAACTTCACTGAGGTGACAAGACCATGCACTTTTATGGGACTTATCTGCCAATCTTTGGCACACGTGACATCTGCTCACCAAGATCCTGAAGGTGTACTGCTGCCCTCATTAGTGAAAGTTCAATAGAGATAAGACAGGGGTTACTACTTTCATTTGTTTCAAATCTTTTTTATTTATTTTTATTTTTTTAAACTTTTAAAATTTTTATTTTTTTTGAGTTGGAGTCTCACTCTGTTGCCCAGACTGGAGTGCAGTGGCCGCTCCCGGCCACCGCAGCCTCGACCTGCTGGGCTCCGGTGATCCTTCCGCCTCAGCCTTCCAAGTAGCCGGAATTACAGGGGTGCACTACCACGCCCAGCTAACTTTTTGATTTATTGTAGAGATGAGGTCTCGCCTGCCCAGGCGGGTCTCGAACCCGCGGGCTCAGGCAATCCACTTACCTCAACCTCCCAAAGGCGCGGGATTATAGGCTGAGCCACCAAGCCCAGCTAAATCTTTTTTATTAACAAAAAATTTTTTAGGCCTTTTGTGTTCCTTCCTTCTCCCTTTTTCTCTTCCTCCCTTTCTCTCTTCCTTCTTTTCTTTTGTAAAATAAATTTTATCTGATACTGACCAAAAAAATTTTTTAGACAGTCTCACTCTGTCATCCAGGCTGGAGTGCAGTGGCATGATTATAGCCCTCTACAGCCTCGAATCCCTGGGGTCAAATAATTCTCCTGTCCAAGCCTCCCGAGTTGATGGAGCTACAGGTGTAAGCCACCACTTCTGGCTAATTTTTCTTTTTCTTTTTTTTTTTTGAGTTGGATTCTCATTCTGTTGCCCAGACTGGAGTGCAGTGGCCACTCCCAGTCACCACAGCCTCGACCTGCTGGGCTGCGGAGATCCTTCTGCCTCAGCCTTCCAAGTAGCCGGAATTACAGGCATGCGCTACCATGCCCGGCTGATTTTTTTGGTTTATTGTAGAGATGAGGTCTCGCTGCCAAGGCGGGTCTCGAACCCGCAGTCTCAGGCAATCCACTCACCTCAGCCTCCCAAAGGTGTGGGATTACAGGTTGAGCCACCGAGCCCGGCTTTCCTTTTCTTTTTCTGAGTTGGAGTCTCACTCTGTCACCCAGGCTCGAGTGCAGTGTCATGCTCACTGCCACCATAGCCTCGACCTGCTGGGCTCAGGTGATCCTTCCACCTCAGCTTTCCAAGTAGTTGGAACTACAGGCATGCGCCACCACGCCCGGCTAATTTTTTTTTATTTATTGTAGAGTTGAGGTCTTGCCATGTTGCCCAGATTGGTCTTACACTCATGGGCTCAGACAATCCTCTCGCCTCTACCTCCCAAGGTGCTGGGATTATAGGCGTGAGCCACCGGATCCAGCCCAATTTTTAAAAAAATATATTTTTGTAGAGATAGGATCTTGCCGTGTTGCCTAGGTTGGTCTCAAATTCCTGGGCTCAAGCAATTCTCCTTTTTCAGTCTCCCAAAGAACTGGGATGACAGGCATGAACAACCGCACTTGGCTTGTTTCAAGTTTTTACAGTCCTTTCAAGCATGAATTTCCTTCTTTCTTTCTTTCTTTTTTTTTGAGTTGGAGTCTCACTCTGTCACCCAGGCTGGAGGGCAGTGGCATACTCCCAGCCACCACAGCCTCGACCGGTTGGGCTCAGGCAATCCTTCCGCCTCAGCCTTCCAAGTAGCTGGAACTACAGGCACGCGCTACCACACCTGGCTAATATTTTGATTTATTGTAGAGATGAGATCTCTCCAAGTTGCCCAGGCTGGTCTCACACCCGTGGGCTCAGACAATCCTCTCATCTCTACCACCCAAGGTGTTGGGATTATAGGTGTGAGCCACTGCGCTCAAGCACGAATTTCAACTGGATGAGTCTGCATTTGGAGCTGCTGTAGTCAAAGTAATTTCATAAACAGATGCAAACACATGACTACTTTGCCTTGTCTTCTTGTAGAGTTGTGCCTAAAATTCACACATTGAGGTACTAATATTTTCATTTCCTCTGTTTATTACGGTTAGAATATTATGCTTGTTTTTTTTTAAAAGAATATGTATAGGTAGGTTATATTAGCTATAAATATCATTTGAAAATAATAAAGAAGGTATTATCAAAAATTTTTGCAAAACGGGGCATTATGTCCAATAGGGGTGAGAATAATTGTTTCATATAATACCAAGGAATTTCTATTATCTCAGCTCAGCACAGAACACTATTAAACCCTAGCCAACAATAAGAACTATTCTCTCTCTTTTTTTTTTTTTGGCATGCTCACAGCCACCACAACCTTGACCTGCTGGGTTCAGGCAATCCTTCCACCTCAGCCTTCCATGTAGCCAGAACTATAGGTGTACACCACCACACCAGCTAATTTTTAAAAAAAATTATTTATCGTAGAGATGAGGGCTCACCAAGTTGCCTGGGCTGGTCTCAAACCTGCAGGCTCAGGCAATCCTCTCGCCTCAGCCTCCCAAAGTGCTGGGATTATAGGCTTGAGCCACCGCACCTGGCCAATAAGAACTATTCTTAGCTGCTTGAGTTACCTTACTGGTTCCACAATCTCTTATAGATACTGCCGGTTGGTCAGTTCAGCCTAATCTATAATTATGTTGCTGCTTCCTAACTTAACACTCTTGGACTCCATTACCCCATGCATGCACCAAGGTTTGGACAATATAAATTAGTACCTAGAAACAGCTAGCCCAGTTTAGGTGCAGTGGCTCATGCCTATAATCCCAGCACTTTAGGAGGTTGAGATGGGAGAATTATTTGAGCCCAAGAGTTTGAGACCAGCCTGACAACATAGTGAGACCTTGTCTCTCAAAAAAAAAAAAAAGAAAAAAATTAATCAGGTATGGTAGCACATGCCGGTAGTCCCAGCTACTCAGGAAGCTGAGGGAGAAGGTGAGGTTGCAGTGAGCCATGATTGTGCCACTGCTCTCCAGCCTGAGTGACAGAGTGAGAACTCAACTCAAAAGAAGAAAAACAACCAGCCCACCTGACAGTTTTTAACTCCTTGAGATTTGACATAGGCTAAGGCCTTGCCTTCAATAGACATTTCCTTCAAAGTAATTTCAGGTGGTAATTTAAGTGTTTTCTCATTAAGCATTTGTTTGTGGTTTTTTTTGTTTATTTTTTTTGAGTTGGAGTCTCACTCTGTCACCCAGACTGGAATGCCGTGGCACGCTCCCGGCCCCCACAGCCTCCACCTGCAGGGCTCCGGCAATCCTTCCGCCTCAGCCCTCCAGGTAACTGGAACTACAGGCGCGCGCTACCACGCCCGGCTAATTTTTTGATTTATTGTAGAGATGAGGTCTCACCTAGTTGCCTGGGCAGGTCTCGAACCCGCGGGCTCAGGCAATCCACTCACCTTAGCCACCCAAAGCGCTGGGATTACAGGCTGAGCCACCAGGCCTGGCTGTCATTAAGTATTTGAACTACCAATGTCCCATCCTTTTTTCATTATGGTTTTCTAATACTATTTCACAGAGGCATTTTATGAAAGAGCCCTGCCCCCCAACAAAAAAGATACAATTTTCTTCCGAATAATGATCTAGATGATTTTCAGAAGTATGTTCCACTCAACCCTCTTTTGTTGTATTGCCAGTCAAAAAACATTTATGGAGAATCCACTAGGTGCTAGACATTAGCTAGGTGAGCAGGCTTTTTACAACTGGTATTGTCCCTG